GTGTTTGAACCCCTGGGGTTCAGCCCAAACCAGACCCAGACCAAGCCACTGTACCCCAGGCTCAGTTTTGCCCCCAAAGCAGGTGTGAGAACATCCCATCCTCTGCTCTGAAGCCACCACTGCCACTGACAAATGACATTCCTGTGTCACAGCCCACAGCAGGCAGGGAATCGATGCTGATTTATGGGTGGTCTTGCTGATGGCTCAGGATCTTTTCCTGTCCCCTGCTCACACCCTGCTGGAAGGAGGGGGGCAGGAGCCTGTGCCTTCCTGGGAGAGCAGGATTTCCACGTGAGGATCTGTGTTATTGGGTCCCCTCCCCTGCCACCAGCTCCAAATAAAGAGTTCAGCACAATCTCATTAAGCTCCCGTGCTCTGTGTGGAGCTGCTGGAGCTGGAGGAGAGCAGGGGGCAGGACCAGAGCCTCCAGTCACCCCAAAACCAAGGCAGCAAGTGCCCCCCACCCTGGCTCTGCCTTGTCCCTCCCAGCTGGGGGGTGATGAGCATTCCCAGCTCCAGGACCTGCCTGGAGCCTGTCCCAGTCTCCCTTCCCTGCACCTCTGTCTGATCCCAGCCCAAGTCAGGACAAGTTTTCCCCGTGTTTAAAGCTGACTGACAAAAATGTGAGTCCTGCTCCAGGTCTCAGCCTGTTCCTGGACCAAAAACCCCAGGAAACGTCTCCTTTCTGTGGCTTGTAACTGGAGATCAGGTCAGGGCTTAACCGTGACTGGGAGACCAGGAGCAGCACCCAACCAACGCAAAAAACGGCAAAAAGAGGGGAAAATACTAAAAAAAACCCCCAGCACCACTGACCCAGCCACCAACCCTGGCCCTGTGCTCCCTGTGCCAGCTCTGGGAACATGGGCAAGGGAGGAGGTGGGAAGGAATCCCAGCCCAGGTACCTCTGCAGGACGTGACACCAGCTGCAGTTGAAGGTCAGCTCCGAGGTCACACACGTTTCACAGCTCTGGTGCTGGAGACAAGCTGGGAAAGAGAGAGGAGAGACGTTCCAGCCCGGTGCCAACATCTGTGAGGGCCCAGGGGAGCAGATCCAGGAGTTGGTGGCTTGGGCAGGACCGGAGGAGCAGCCACTGAGGGTCCAACCCAACCTCTCTGCCAGGGACCTGCAGGATGGGCTCCCAGTCCATCCATAAACCTCCTCCTGCTCTGTTTGGCTGGGAATTCAAACACCTGTGAGGCTTTTTGCCCTTTCTCACTGCACAGAGGGTGTTCCTCAGGAGGAAGGTCCAGCACAAACAGCTGAACCCCCCCTCGTGCTGCGCCCACACGAAGTGGTTCTGCAAGAACACCAACATTTGGTGTCCCCTTGTTTAGGAAAGATGGTCAGGAGGGGCTTGGCTGCAAAGAAAGAGAAGGAAATCAGCAGTTTTAACAAGCCCCTCAATGGCAGAGCCAAAAGTGGCTCCAGTGCTGTGACATTCCCAGGGATGAAAGCCTCCACTTCTAATCCCCTCTCACATCCTGAGCTTTTCCCAAGCCATGTGGAGGCAGGGAGCAAACTCAGACCTCTAAAGCAAGCCAGTCCATCCCTTCTGCCCCGAACAAGGCCAAAAACTGAACCCCCAGAAGCAGCAGCAGAGTGGGGCTCTCTGTAGCTCTGTGGCTCCCGTGCAGACATTGCTCTGAGCTCCCAGAGCTGCCGGGGGGGAAAAAAAACCAGGCAAAAAACAAACCAGCAAATCTTCAGGAGAAAAAAAAAAAAAACCAACAGAGTCACTGCAGAATGGTTATTTATGTTCTGCCTGCAATAACCTGCCTGCTGTTAAAATTGTCATAAAATACCCCGGGGAGAGCGTTCGGTGCAGCCCCTCCGTGTCTCCATGGCAGATTTACCTCCCAGCCCGCATTCACCGGCTGCTGACGACT